TCACTTTTTTTATTTAAATGGTTGCAGTATTTTTATTACTATTAATTTAATATCGCTATACAATATTTAAAACTTATTATATTTAATCGTAAAACGTATTTTATTATTATTACTTCACAATTTACGCTTATATAAAGACGAAATATCTTATTATATATTGTAATGCTGTCTATTTGTGAATTTTATTACAACATTATATGATTGATTTGAAAATTTAATTTTATTAATAATTTTAATATATAATAAATTGCACATCAAATTAAATAAAGTATTAACATTATTCGAATAAGGAATCCTCCAATAATTCAATTATAAATTTTTCTACGACTTGGTAATTTTAGATATAAAAGAAAAACTCTATTTCATTATCAATTCCATTGTACTATTTTACTTTAAAACATATGCTCTCTATCTATGAATTTTGTCTTTCTTTCAGACCATAAATATAACGAGCTATAAAAAGAATTTTCGCAAAAAATATTTAAACAATAATAATTAATAGTGATGGATATTTTTTAATTGATGTTTAAAAATAGTTTTTATCTTAGTGGTATTATTGGAGTTGCAACTGGACTCGGCGAAAATGCAGTTAGAAAGTGGAGTGTACAAACGTGTTGCTGACAGCTGAAATCCCGTTATATGTTTGCGTTAGACGGGATGAAGCTTAACTTTCTTTGTAAGAAATTCAAAAATAATGCGTAATCACTTTTGCAATTAGTTTTATCTATAAATAGTACGTTAAAAATGAAAGAATTGTTAATATATGAATTATTATAGCAGTGCTTTTTTTAATCTTATTCTATATATATTTCCACATTAATTTTTGAAATTCAGTTTCACCGTAGTAAAATATTTTAATAATTATTAATATTTAAATATAATATCTTCATATGCTTTAGAATAAGTTAATGTTTTTTTTTTTTTTTTTGACATTAATTTCGACAATTTGTAGAAATATTATCATCATAAAAAATATTTTTTAATTTTGTATCATATATAATAATAAATAATTCTTTTTATTTATTAGTAATTATTTTTTATTACATATAATACGGAAATTTTAATGTTATGGCAAATAATATTGATTTCATATTTTTAACATTAAGTTATATTTGACTTATTTGAATTATTAATTATTACTTTTAATTTTCATTCAAAACACCATTAAAAAATTATATAACCAAGATTAAGTAATTTCTTGAAGATTTATGACATTTTAGTTCTATTTTAAGACATTTGAGACAAATGAACATATTTAAAAATCATTAATTTTTTTAATGAATTCGTTAAGAATTGAGTAAATTAGTTATGGATCATATTTACTATATTTCTTATATGTGTGTGGTTTACATTAATTTAAATTGATATTGGTATGGAATTAAAATTCCTATCAAAGTAATATCAGTATTTTGCATTCATTTTATTTGTTTATTACAGCTAAATTATTTAAGTACTTTCCTAATTGCCTATAAATTTAGTGGTCATAAAATTATAGAAAGTAGATTAGTTTGTTGGAAAAAATGGTTTCATCTTTTAATAATATAATAATTCATTATAATAGGCAATAAAAATTTAGATGTAATTTATAAATAAAATTTTTTAATATAAATTACTAATAGGTAATTACTAATAAATTATAATAGGAAAAATTTTATAATTTAAAAGCTATGAGATTCATTTAATGAAAGGTACAGTTATGCTAAATGACAAGAATTACAACATATTTAGTAATTGAAAGCTACAACGTCGTTAGATTGATTCACTTTATAATGGATAGACTTACTACTTTAAAAGAGTATGATTTTTTTTAAGGAAATATTAAGATATGCTATAAAAAAAAATCAATTTTTTTAAATTATAATCGGGTTAATAATCTTGATTATGCGACGCAATTAACTTTTATACGTACCAGTCGATAGAAAAATAATGACATCATTATCAAATTACAGCACATGTATTTTATCAATGAACAATACAGAATATTCATATAATTATGTAAATTTATTAGTAGTTTATACAATTAGTTTAAATAAAATTGATGTAAAAAGCTGACGAATTGAGAATTAATTAATTATCTCATATTTTCACTTAGCTGGGCCAAGTATAATAAATAGTTGATGCAAATATATTTTCTATTCCATTGATTTTTAATGGGTATGATAGATTTTATTAATTATGGAAATATTTTAATTAAATGTTATATATACATTTTCTTAACTTTTTAAAGAAAATTAGGAGAATAATATGTTACTACTATAATACTATTGCTGTGCTATTAATTATTCAAATTAATAAAATAGTTTTTAACATATAAAGCAGAAAAACTTACACGATGTCGAACTTGAAATTAGACGATAACCGTGATTCACAAATTTTTTCCAATTATGTTCATCTATCAAATTTTATTTCATTATCTACATTTTTAAGAAAAAATAGATATTCGAATTCTTTTTATTCTAACAGTTTCAACTTCATTAAATAGAATTTAATTATTTCTATGAAAATTAAAAAAAAAAAAAAAAATACGTGAAAAAGAACTGGAAACAAGTGTGTAATTCATCATATTACTGTCAAATGTGTAATATTAGCGATTATATTTAATTGTGGTATTATCATATTTTTAAATTCTTTTAGCAGCGCGTAAAAAATTTTGAGTGAGATTATTATTCAAAATAAATTATCTCATACTTAAGAAAATCAAATATGAAAATTAAAATAATATATGTGGATAAAATGAGCTGATGCTACGTTTTAATATTCATTTGACTAAATTTTTGTTTTGTTATTTCAAATTATGTTATTCTTTTCGTTATTTTATTATTTCATCATATAATTCATTTGTATATATTTTGTATGTATATTGTATATACATTATAATTCCACGTTATGTAAATATTATATAAAATTTAATGTATTTAATTTAAAAATTAAACAGTAATAAAACGTAGAAAGAGATTCATAACATATATGCACTAACGTAAGAACCAATTAGTTGAAGAAAATTAAGTATTTATACGTTTTATTATTTATTTAAGCAATATATTTTGAAATTTCATACGAATTACAAATTGATTATCATTAACTATTTATCTCAGTACAACTAAATGAAATTTTAAAAACTTATAATTTATTTAATGGAATTAGGCTTCAACTTAAAATATGCATAAAAGCAAATTATATATAATATATTTGTTTAACTTTTATAATATTGGAAAAAAAAGAAATGGTTATTTTTACTGGAGTTTCATTATTTTTCGAATGCTTATAATAAATAGTTTTATTATTATTTTCATATATTATAGATATATTTTATCTTATATATATATATATATATATATATATATATATATATATATATAATTATTATTGATTATTAAAGAATTTAAAGAATTATTATAAATAATTGTAATATTTATTGAAAATAATATTATTTATGGTTTTTAAAAGAGTAAGGAAGGTCTAATTTATAGTAACATATAATGTTTTTGAAAAAGGCGAGAATAAATTATTATTGAATTAAGTATATATATTCAAATATTATACCAGTAAGAACATGTAAGTATTATTTTATGAATTCTTGGTATCATCAAAAATATTGATTCAGCCGAAAGAATTTTCTTCCAATGTAATTCATAAATTGTACTTAAACAAATAAATTTGTAAATCTATATATATATAAATGCTATAGTACTAATAATCTCAAACAATACAAAAACGACTACTCTGTTAATGATGTATACAATCGCCTTCCAACTACTTATAAGAAAGAATATGTGTACTCCAACTATATCAAACATACAATGAAACTGATACTTTTTAAAATTATTATAAAAAAAGTGTCATTATTCAAATCATTTTATAGATTGAAATTATTATAATAAATATTACAACAATAATTGTTAAGTGGAATATAAAATTGAATATATATTTCATAATTCAATCATAACATTTTTTAAAATAGAAATCTATCTTTATTCAAAGTTTAATATCTTAATAATTTATATAAATTTAAAAATTTGTATAATTTTGAAATGTACAGTGTAAGTTTTACAGGCGTAGTAAGGATTATTATATATACATTTTATTGCAAATGTTCAGTAAATATATACGGATTAATAATTTTTCGTGAAATTAATACTAATGAAAATAAAAACAAGTAATAAAAAATATAAAGCAATTCTCTTAATTGATGAAATGGAACATTAATGTAATTTTTAATTCAGTAATTGTAAAATTGTATTTTGTTCTTAATGGAACCATGAGAAATGATAAAATTACATGGAATATTATTGTTCTAAATATTGATTCAATATGATATTTAACATATTATTATTTTTAATCTCTTGGATAGCTCTAAATATAAATGTATTATAATATAAATATTTTATTAAAAATGTTTTTTTGTTTTGTAATCATCATAATCGGATTTAAAAGTAAGATATTAAAATTTAAAAAATATTCCATTAAAACATTTTATTATAATGTTTATGTCTTTTATATCATTAAAATAAATAATTTTAATTTTCGATGTTTGTATAAATTAAGTTCCAATGGTTGATTAAATGAAGTGCTTGGGAGAGAATATAAATATCTATATTATTTCTATTTTAGTATGTATAATCAATAGTCTCTTAAATTATGTAATGACCAATAATGTAATTAAATAACGTCGAAAGGACTCCCTGAGAATATACTTTATTTATTAGAATATAATTTTTGTTTATTATAATCTAAAATAACCAATAATGATTTTGTATTGAACATATCGGATGTACTACTAAGTTTTAAAGTACACATAAACAATCCAATAATGGAAGAGTAAATAAAAATAAGAAGATCACACCGTATTAATTTTTTTATATAATTTTCATTTCAACTTACTATTAAGTTTACAATTTTTTAATACAATTGATTTAGATAATATTTACTTAGATTTTGTTTGGTTAAAAATAAATCGGATAAAAAAAATTTAGATAATAAAAGTGATCGAATTCTTAAAATATAATATCAACTTTTGTATTATAAGTGCTATTCAGTTGTATTGTACATTTTCATTTTAATTAAGATCTACACCATCCATCGTAAGATTTTGTGATTCCTGAAAGAAAATGTTGTCAATATTAAATATGAAGGAAATTCACTTATTATTGTTATAATAAAATATATTCAATTTTAACGAAAGCAGTAGCTTGATTATTAATTATTTAGATTTTCTATTCAATTGATTAAAAGAAAGAAGTCTTACTTCTTCCTGTGCAGAAAGCAGCGCATCTCAGTGATGTTGGATTAGTGTATGTTGAACCATTGCTCCCACATACATAAAAGATATCTGCTGTTACTGGACAGAGACAATCTGTTGTTCCTTCATCGAGTCTTACAGCTTCGACTTGAAAGGATATCGATAGAAGTACTATGCAAGAAATTTTACATATTTTAGAATAATTTGTTGATATTTAATGTATATAAATAGATATTGTTTAGTTTAAATTGTATTTATTTTGTAAATATATATATATATGAAAGTTATGTTCTTAAACTAAATACTGAACATTTTAAATATGAATTATATTGTGTAATTTGGGCAATAAGTTTCAAAAACATAAACTAAAAAAATATATATAAATTCTTATCTATTCGTAAGCGATTTTATAACTTATTATGTTAATATTAGAATAATTCTTAAATTTAAGAAGAGAGAATATATGTTTTTATTTAAAAGTGAATTTATAAAATAATTAAAAAAATTGTTTTTAATTTCAATGTAAAAACGTCTTTGTTATTTAATTAATAAGTTAAATTAATAATAAAAATGTAACGTAAATAATAATGGATTTCTTTTAATGTTAAAAAAAAAAGAAAAATTATTCTTATACTTTTTATACTTATTGCTAAATATAATTTTATTATTAATAAATTGTATATTACGCAATGTAACAATTATTTTTTCCATTAAGTTATGAAATATATATTTATATTTTTAATCATTGAGTATACAGTATTTTATACTTACCGACAAGTGCCAAAAATAAAGATAATTTTATCATTTTGAAAAGCTGAGATAACAATTGTGTTGATAATTGATTTTTTGTAATGAAGAATAATTTTCAGAACCGTGTATATATAGATCTTAGGTGCGGTAGGAAAATGGATAATACCCCCACTTCCTCACGATATGGTTTATAAATATTTACATTCTTTATTATAATCTACGTAATTTGATAGTGAATATAAATACTACCGAATAATTTCACTCGAATTATAAAGAATTATAAGTTCGTTTTTTGACAAAATTCTTCATTTAGTTTGTCCATGAATATATCGTTATTAAACGTTTATTGATTCAATTTATGTATTACAACTAGTGCACTAAAAAATATTTAATATCATCGATTAGATCTAGAATGAATATTACTAGTATTTAATAAAATTATAAATAACTGATAATAGTATGTAAAAATATGAGAAAGTACGAAGGGATTGAAGTTAATTATTGTTAGCAAGAGATAAGATGTGTTTATAATATTCATAATATTTCGCTAATAGCAATACATTTTAATATAGCTCATAAATCGTAAATCTAAAATTGTATAATTAATTAATATTTCTACAGTAAAAATAGTATTATTTTTTAGGTAATAGATGAACTTTATTTTATAAATATATAAATTAAAAGAAATTATCCTTGACAGCTATTATGATTAAAATTAATCCACAAATTCGACTTTAAAAATTTTTTAATTTTTATATCAGTATATTCTATATCATATTCGTACGAAATATTTGTATATATTATATACAAACACCAATTATTTTATTTTTAAGTAAACATAGATATTAAAATTAATTAATGTATCGTTCTATTAAATAACTGTTAAATACAAAATCATATTTTATAACTTTATAAATCATTATATGTTTTGATTTTGTATGTAAGAGAAGTACGTAATTGCTCTAAATGTAACAAACATACACGCGCGCGCGCGCACAATATATATTCTTTATAATTATATAGTGGTTTAGTGATTTTTTTTTAAAGAATTGTTGTTGTATTATATAATTTCATTATAATAGAAAACGATCTTCACTTATTTCAAATGTACTTCAGATGTTTAAAACTAATTATTAAAATTGAAATTATACATTCTTAATATCATCATGTATCATTATTAAAATATTAAAATATTAGATAAATATAGTAATATTTTTATATTAATATTAGATTAAAAACTGTATGATTGTATTTATAATAAATGAAAATAAAAATTTGAAGTAGAAAAAAATGACAAATTAATTGAAGTTATTCAATATACTAATATTTGATACTGGGATATTTTCAAAATATGTTTCTTTAAAAAGAACAATTGTTTATTAATAAGAAAATCATTTAAATATATTGATTTATTCAAATTATTTTATTGTTCCATTATTTAAAAAAGTATACCTAATTTATTATGTATAAGTGTAGTAAATTAAAAAAAATTTTAAGATAGCATTTGAATTATGTAAACTAACAATTATCATACTTCAAATGAATAACTATTTCGTTAGAGTAAAGTATTAAAATTTACATGTTTATGAAGATAATAATAATCTTTAAAGTTATATCGATTATTCAAATGTTTTATTATTATTTTAATGTACGATATAATCGCCATCTCAATATTATATTTAGTACCATTGAAAATGTTTGATATAATGATCGATAAATTTTTCTTCAGACTATTCGTTGAAACCGTTTGACGCTACACTTTATACAATAGAAACATTTTAAATAAACTATTAAATTAATTTTTCTATGTATTTAATCATCAATGTAAGTTAATAATGTACAGCCATATATACACACACACACATATATATATATATATTTTTTTTTTTGCTTGATTAAAGATGACATAAATATACTCGACATAAGATACTCTACTAATCAGATTTTTCAAGTCATAGCTAAAAATAATCTTCATCCCATATAAAATATTTATAATAAAAATAATTTTTATGGTATCGATATATCATTTAATGTTCATAATTAATTATATGCGCCGTTATAAAACTATGAAAATATAAAACGATTTGAATTAAATAGTTTTAATAAATGTTAAAATTTATTAAAAATTGATAATAAATTTTTTAATATAATATGGGTTTATTATGTTTACTTAAATTTTTTTTTTTTATATTAAACTTTTAAATTTCACTTATTTCTCTCTGTAACATAGTTTAACATTTTAATTCATATGCATAAATCAATCTTAATAATAGAACTTAAAAAAGGCTTTCCACTGAATTAGAATTTTTTAATGAATTTTGTTCATCTAAAAGTACATCTGTTATGTGAATAATAATTATTATTATAGGTAAGAGAAAGATGAAATTTTAATTAATGCGAAATATATTATGACTTGTTATTAATCGTATTAGTTAGAAAGAATACAAAATAGTTAGAATAGTTAGAATGTTTTGTAATAACTAGTTACTCTTTATAGAGACTCTAATAATCTATTAATTCATTTAATGAAATTTTATCAAATTATGGAGACGCTTCAATAAACTGAACACTTCTTTGCTTAATAACGAACAAAATCCGTTAATTATTCAATAAATTAATGTTTCTAGTTCAATATTTTAAGACATTATCTGCATATGAAAATATTGACCAAAAAATGTTCGTTCAACCAATAAGTTATTGCCGAATATATATTTATATTTAAAGTATAAACTTTTTTGTTAAATATAAAATATCAAAGTTCTTTTCAATATTTAATTATTATTTTTTTTTTTATTAATAATGTGGGACAATTTTAATGCTGCTTTGGAATTTACGTAGCTTGAGTATAAAAATTTAAGTTTTCGTTAAGTACTACTTATATCAATCAATTTATGTTACATTGTCGTAATCGTTAAATTTCAACGTAATTTCTAAGATTAGTATAAAACAAAATAAATAATTAGTACAAATAAATCTTTACTGTTTTTAATTATCATGAGCATTTCAAACTACTTATCATAAAAAGTATCTATAAACTATATTTCCTCGTTAATTATTAGTTGTCAAATCTAAAATAAAAAGTACATTATGCACATGTGAAATAAGATATAATTCATTGTTATTATTAGTCATTTATAATAAATATTAGTAAATTTTATTCATTTATTTATTTTCTGTTTTATAAAATGTAAGACCTTATACGTTTATTTGCGTAATACTGTACGTCTGACAACGAATATAAGTCCAATTCGACCAAAAGAAAATTAAATTTGACTATACTGAAAACCATTATCTTCGCCGTAAAAGCCATTTTCGTCTCAGAAAAGGTAAGCAATGATCGTGTGTACAAAAATAGTTACCACGACGCATACATCACGATTGCGATACTGCGTGTAACCATTAAAATACGCATTACAATTGTACAAACATAACAATATCGCAGAAAGATGCGTCGTTTATTGATTCCGCTTTTGGGCATATATACTTAAGCGAATGATCAAGAGAAATATAGATGGCGTGCCGAAAGTGGTGAGCACCGCAAGTGATTGCGCACGCGAGTGGCGGCCGCTCAATCTGGTAAAGTGCAAGGGGCACGCGATATTCGTAGGAGAGGAGCCGTCGGTGATGAGGAATATACGTTCACCCCACCTTGACACAACTGCTCGGCTACGCTTGGCTACCACCAAGTGCAAATTGACGGCAATGATGGAGCGCGAGCGACTTTTCACGCTGTTTTCTCGGATTTGGAGGTGAAACGGGGACTAACGATGGGGAATAACGACTAACTTTCCAATATACTTACTCTTTCGACAAGAGCCGTTTAATTCGAGTGAACGGGAGCCGAAATAATGGCTTTTGCACTATTTACAAGTACGAAGTTCCTTGTAGGAACGGCTATGGGTTGCTTTTTAATGAAAAGTTTCTGTGCGGTTTTTTTTTTTTTTTTTTTTTTTTTTTTTTTTAATTTATATTCCAAGCGATAATATAAAACTTTCATATTGATAAGGCTTTCTTAGAGTTAAGAAAGAAATTAATTAATTCATTTGAAGCGTTAACGTCAGAGAATAAAATCACTTAATTAACAACATGGCTTCGGTGAAAAATAAAACTCGGCTCAAACACTAATTAAGCTTATAAAGAAACGTCTGTATATAAATTGCCAACGGCTTAAAAAAGTAATTTAATGTATTTTTAATTGGTTACAAAATATAATTAATAGTGCCATAATTAGCATAGAAAGCAAAACAATTATGTTTAATTTATGCAAATTATGTGTACGCATAAATGATTAGCTTTTATTTCTAACGACTCTGTTTGATTTTATCCGCCACATACTTTGAAGTGTTTGTAAAACGCGCAATAATCAAGCGAATGGAATATATTCTAATTCACTTCATGAGAGAGAACCGAAAAGAGCTTTATGACCGCTGTGATAAATAATATATATATATATATATATATATATATATATATGCATTACACCTTCGAACTACAATTTCTTTCATTTAAAATCAGTTTTAATTATCGAATGTGAACGGTGAAAAATATTAAACATTGAACAAAGGCTTTTTATTATTATTATTATTATTATTATTATTTTAATGCACGAACAAACTAACGCGCTAAATATTTAAATAAATAAATAAATAAATAATAATAATAATAATTATTATTATTATTGCATATACTGACGAAAATTGAATTGTAAGAAAATTATTATTTCTATTTTTTAGTTTTTACGTTTATTTAAGTGTATTGGTATAAGTAGCCTTAATAAATTATTTGATCGTAATTTCGATAATAAGTATCCAAGTTGAAAGATTTAAATGGTTATGTAAAATTGCAGTTCTACGTTTGCTTTTGTACATTTGGTCAAGCTAATGTTTAACTCAAATAATTGAATTATAGATAGTTTGCAAATATTCAAAACATCTGTGTTTAAATTACTGTTTTATATAATACTAAACAAAATTTATTACTTTATTATTTTTCATTATATATTATATTTGTTAAATAGTTCATTCTTTAAAGTGGCAAGTTTTTACGTTTTTTGGTTTATGGCGATATAAAAAACCTTATCGGTCCCGAATTCA